ATTCGATCCCAGGACCCTGGGATCATGACCTGAGGTGAAGGCAGATGCTTAACCATCTGAGCCACCCAGGCACCCCAAACAAGGGAACTTTAAACAAGGGAGTAGAGGGGAGCCTGGGTGGCTCAGTTGTTAGGCATCTGCTTTCGGCTTGGGTCATGATCCCAGGGTCCTGGGTTCGAGCCCCATATCGGGCTCCCCGCTCCGCGGGAAGCCTGCTTCTCCCTCTCTCACTCTCCGAGCTTGTGTTCTCTCTCTTGCTGTGTCTCTCTCTGTCAAATAAATAAAATCTTAAAAAAAAAAAATAACTATTAAACAAGGGAGTAGAGGCACCTTGATAACTTTCCATAGGAAGGCATGCAGACTTCTTGTGTTGCCAAACTAACGACACTTGAGTGTCAATTAGATTTAGGAAGCAGGGTTCAATTTATATATAAATGAGAACTTGGTGCTTTTTTAATTGTCGGTAATTGACAGTTATCCTTAATCGAACGAAACCGTATTTTAGGCATCATGCTAAGTGTGTCCTGTGCGCTGTCTCATTTATTCCTCACACTCAATTCTAAAGATTTAAGAGTTGTTACTCCCATTTTCAAATGAAGCTGAGATTAGGGTTTAGTAACTTCACATAAAGTCATCTAGGTGGCGAGTGACAGAGCCAGACCTAGAACTGGTCTGAACCCAGAGCCCCTCCTCACGTACTCCCTGCACTGCCAAGTGTTGAGTAAGGTCAGACTCACCACCCGAACAGGGGTGCTTCCAGATTCCAGTTCACGGGGAATTGTTTTTGCTGCCCTGGGAGGCCCCTCCAACCCTGACACTGTGACCTCAGTCTTACCCTCACCTGCGTGTGCTGCCATCATCCTGCGGCCCAGGGTGGTGGCAGGACGGTGGCCCAGCCCCCCGCAGGCCATCCTCTGGCAGCCTGTACCTAGCACACCAGGGGCTGCTGACTCCTGGCCTTGACCCTGCTCACCTCCTCAGAGTGCGGCCTCCTTTGACAGAGTCGGGGCTCTTTCATCTCTCCTTCCCCCGCCCCCTAGCACCCAGCTTGGCTTCTTCACACGGTAGAGATCTTTTCTGGCCCCTCTTTCAGGGCTGGCCCCAGGTGGTGTCTGATGCATGTTTCCTTCCAAAATCCCAGGATAGAATATGTAACAGTGACTCCCGAAGGATTCCGGTACCGGGGCCAAATCTTCCCTACTGTGAATGGACTTTTCAGATGGTTTAAGGATCACTACCAGGATCCTGTACCGGGTGAGTTCTGTGCTGCGCTCTGGGGTGTGCTTAGAGGGACAGCTAGGCCCTGAATCTGGATGCTCACTTGCCACCTCCGGAAGGGGCAAGGCCTGAGCTGTCACCGCAGCTGTCTCACTCCTGCTCCAGCCTCCTGGCATCAAGGACGTCCTCCATCTGCTTTGCCGATGCAGCTTCCCTTCTCTCCACCCACCTCAGACCTCCTCCGGCCCCCTACATTGTGAAACCAGAAATAGGTTTCTGGAGGGACGTAACTCACTTTGGCCGTTTCCTACAGGCATCACCCCCAGTAGCAGCAGCAGGACCCGGACACCCGCTTCTATCAACGCCACCCCAGCCAACATCAACCTTGCCGGTGAGGAGCTCATGTCTGGGACGGGGAGCTGGAGGGATGGCACCAGCAGGACTTTGACCTCTGACGGGCCCACCCCCCATCTCTGTGTGCTTACAGATCTGACACGAGCTGTGAATGCCCTGCCCCAGAACATGACCTCACAGATGTTCAGTGCCATTGCGGCCGTGACAGGTCAAGGACAGAACCCTAACGCCACCCCAGCCCAGTGGGCCTCCAGCCAGTATGGCTATGGCGGCAGTGGAGGGGGCAGCAGCGCTTACCATGTACGTGGCTTGGGGACGAGGCTCCCTGCGGGGGGTGGGGAAGACTGAACGGGAACGACCATCCGTTCCCAACCCTCCTTTACTGACCCGTGTCCGCAGACTGGCCTCTGGCAGCGCCCACCACAGGGGGCTTCAGACATACAGATGGGGTCGCCACAGCCATAGGAACTGTCTCCAACCCACGGTCCTTTTCCCCAGGCCCACGTGAGGGTAAAGGGAGTAAGGTCTGATTTTTCCGTGGTCCTTTGGGATCTTTGGAACCCTCAAGCGGCCAGGACTGACCAGGGTTGTTGTGCCAGGTCCCATCCTGCTGGCCTCTCTCTGCTGCTTGGGACTACATACTGCTCAAGAGATGGTTGGTCAGCTGGAAAGCTCTGGGCCGAGCCCTAGCTTTCAGCTTGCCAGAAGTTCATAGCAAGGCCGAATAAGCCCCAAGCCCATCCCCATTTGACCGTTCTCCTTTCTCCAGGTGTTCCCAACGCCAGCCCAGCAGCCGGTGGCCACACCGCTCATGACCCCCAGCTACTCATACACAACCCCCAGCCAGCCCATCACCACACCACAGTACCACCAGCTCCAGGCCAGCACCACCCCGCAGGCGGCCCAGGCCCAGCCCCAGCCCTCTTCCAGCTCTCGACAACGGCAGCAGCAGCCAAAGTAAGTATGTGGTCTGTGGCACAGGGCAGGCTGCTAGGGGCAGGTGTCGCCAGCCTTCCAGTGGGCTCGGCGTAGGCAAGGGCCTCGGACCTCGTGAGAGCCGTGACCCAGGCGATAGCCCAGGATGACCGCTTTCTGGGAGAAGACAGAAGAGGGCCACGGGGCAGCCGACTACGGCTCCTCTCTGTAAGGACAGATGTAAGGTGAGGGAAGGCTTCCTTCTAGAGAGCTCCCGGAGGGTCCTGATCTCAGAGGCCCCTTCTTTTCCCGTTTCCAGGTCCAACAGCCACGCCGCCATCGACTGGGGGAAGATGGCAGAGCAGTGGCTCCAGGAGAAAGAAGCCGAGCGGCGGAAACAGAAGCAGCGGCTGACGCCCCGGCCCTCCCCCAGCCCCATGATCGAAAGCACCCCCATGTCCATTGCCGGCGATGCCACCCCGCTCCTGGATGAGATGGATCGGTAGGGGGCCCGCTCCTAGGACTCTGGTTACCTCTGAGGCTGGGAGAGGCCCAGCCGCCCACTGCCTCACTCCCTGCCCCTCCTTTTCTGTCCATAAAGTGGCGTGAATTGACATTCTCTTTGGTGGTCAGCCTGGATGGGTGACAAGCTGGACGGCCTTGCCAAGTTGAGCTCAGTGTACGCTAGGCGACAATTCTCCCACTCCAGGCCCTCACCGGCCACCTGTCCCGGGACCAGGCTGGGAGGGGAGTGTGGCGGGGAGGAAGAAGAGGAAGACGAGAATGAGAGTGGAACAGTTTTGTATTCTGCTCCCTACAAGCCATTTTGAGCTTCTGCCCTCACCTGACTCTGGGCTGCGACCCTGGGGCACCAAGCTCAGCACATGAGTCTCCCCCAGCTCTTGAGGGGAGAGGAATGCTATTTATTCAGTTTGAGGCAGGAGGGAGAGGAGGGAAAGTATTTCTGACCCTGATGCCGACGGCTTGGGTGGCTAGCAAAGCAGAATTGCAGGGGACCTGGGGGAGCAGTGCTAACCTGCCCCGCCCCCGCCTGGCCGCCTTCACCCACCTGCTGCTGCCTCCGCTTCCTGCCTGTCATTTGAATAAACAGTGTTTCTACAGAGCACTTGGCAAAGCGTCTCTCTCCAACGCTCCGGCTCTTGAAGGGTGGCTTTCAAAGCAGTGTGTGGAGCTCTGGGGGCTCACCCTGACTCCTTCCAGACCATCAGAGAGACAGTGACTCTGAACAGCAAGCAGCCTCTGTATCTGCCTGGGGTCACGTCCATGCTCCGCTCCCCAGCCCTGTGCCTGTTGTCTCTGTAAAACGGAGTGATCGATACCTGCCTCGTCTGGGCAGCTGCCAGGACTGAGAGAGGACGTGTGCGCGCTCAGCCTGGGGCCTAGGACCTCGTGAGGCCCCAGGACCCGTTAGGTGCTGTTACTACACTCGCACACAGCCCACGATCTGCGCCCGCTAGCTTCCTCTGGCACAGCGAAGAGGGGCTGCGCATAAATTTCAGTTTCTCGAGCCCCTGCACCTCTTCCCTGGCTCTTTTTGCCAGCTGGGCCTTGGTCTGTGATGATAGAGCAGCTCTACACAAGCACGGCTGCCCCAGGATGGGCCCCATGCTTGCCTGCTCCCACGCACGCCCTGGAAAAGGAAGTGCCGGGCTGTTGCAGGGGAGGCCAGTCCCCCCCCTTACCAGCTTGGTCCAGCCAGCCCCCTGGCCCTGGCCCCTCCCCCCAGCCTGACTGTCTGGTTGTGTTCTAGACTCCTGGTATGCCGTGTTTCTTCAGAAGGGCCTCGCCTCACAGCTTTGCAAGTTGGTGCTAGGAAAGTGAGGTTTTCCCTCTCCCTTTCCTCTGCTTGGGGCTCAGCAGAGAAATCAGGAAAGGTCACTACTGCCCAAACTTGATGAGTCTCCCATCTTGACTTCATCCCGTCATTCAAGATCTCTTTGGCTGTTGACAAGAGTTGGGAGGAAAGGGCTGGTCTTCTGCCAGGAACTCGGTCGGTTCCATTCCCTTCAGCATAAAGGTCTGGAAGGGCCTAGCAGGAGCAGGGACACACCAGCTGGGAAATCACGTTCCCTTAGGTGCCACCAGCGTCTTCCTAAAGGCCACTTAGAGGAGGGAAAGGCCAGGCACAGTGGCACAGAGTGGGTTAAAAGGTTCCATTTATTAGGGGTATCACTGCAGACAGCACTGCCTGAAATCCCCGAGCAGATTTCACACAGACCAGTCTCCCAGGAGATGGGCAGCCTCCTTCCCACCCCACCCAGATGTGCTCCTCTCCTGTCCTGAGCCTAGGATGTTACAGAGAAACAGGCTGTGTCCCCCTCTGCCCTCCCTCCTACGTTCCCATGGACTCCCTCCTGAAAGACAGATTACCCTTCAGAAAGTCCTGCAGCCCCCTGGCCCCTTGGCTCCAGCTACGCCCAGAGCCCACCCCCTTACCCCCCGCCCCCCCGCCCCAGGGACAGGTTGGAGGGAGAGAGAACAGCAGCAGGGGGTCTGCTACAGGCTTGATCGCATTTATTCTTCACCCTGGACGCCCTGGCCTCAACTGAGATTGGGGTTTGATGCTGGGGGAGATCTCCTCTTGACCTTCTTGACTGGTGAGGTCTTGGCCCCAGGTTTCTTAGTCTGGACCGTGTTCTTCTCTCTCTTCCTGGGCGACGAAGACTCCACGATATCCTCGCTGGAGGGCTCCTCCCGCCTGGGGTCCTTGTAACTGTCCTCGCTCTCCAGGTCCTCCGGGCTGTCTGGGCTGGACTCAGACATCCTGGTCAACTCTCTGGGGCTTACTGATCGGCTCAAGTCTGGAGGTAAAGATTCCGATTCCACCGGGCTTTTCTTTTTCATCAACTTGCCCTTCTTGACTTTTTTCTTCGGCTTTACCTTCTCCTCCGTCTCGTCTTCCTTGTCTTTGTCTTTTTCTTTTTTCTTCTTCACCTTCTTGATCACCTTGTTGCCCTGGGACTTCCCCGTGGGGCTCTCAGAGCGCCAGATGGTGACGGGAGCTGCTGAGTCTGGGCTACCTGGGACGGCGCCCGGGCCTGTGTCAGTGGGTGCGGCGGTGGCGGGCCCCACCTGGGTCGGAATGGGGGCCTGGCCTTCCTCCTCCTCCTCCTCTTCATTCAGGTCGTCTGCCACATAGTCATGGTGGACTGGATGATAGATCACTGCCACAGAGACAGGCCTGTAGCTGTTGCCCCTGGGAGGGAGGGGGACAGGGAGAGAGATTGACAGAGAGTGGGGGGGCCGGGGCCCCTTAGTGCCGCCCCGTCAGCCTGCCAGCACTCACCAGCCATACCAGAACCGCTCCACACACTCTTCCTCTGGGATGAGCTCAAAGCAAGGGGACTGGATGGCGTTGAAACATGTTGAGCCCTCATCTCGGGAGCAGGTTGGGCCCACATCTCGGGAGTTGTCGCTATTTGTCTTCTCTGGGCAATCCTTCAGCCTGCCACACAGAGGACTCAGCCTGGCGCCCATGCCTCCGTGACTCCCCCCCGGGACCCAGAGCGAGAAGCCCGGGGGACAGCTGGCCTCTGCTGGACTCAGCCCAGGCTGCCAAAAGACCTCCTCCCCATGGCTCTGGAGCACAGCCTGGTTTACAAAGCTGGGGCCGGGCTAGCAGTGCCAGGGCAAAGCTGAAGGGGGAAGCACAGGGAAATCATGGGCCTAGCTCTGCCCAGCACTCTCTCCTGGGCTGCGGGTCTCCCAAGGAGGAGGGCCCTTACCTAGAAGCACAGTCACGGTGGCTGACGGAGTGCAGGTGCAGGTTGTGGTGGCCACAGTCCGAGGTGAAGGGGTGGATGATGTGCCCAGTGCACTGCTTGTGTTTCCAGCAGCACCTGTCCGGGTCCTTGAATTCACCTGGGGTGGCGACAGCGGCACACCTCTGGGTCTCCCCTCCCAGAGCTCAATCTAAAGGCTTCGCCAAATTCAGCTGCTGCCACCCACCCTCCCCTTCCCCGGCAGCTTTCTAGGCAGCTTTCTACTTCAGAGTGGTAACCACCCGGTAGGAACCCAGCACTCCCCTTTCCCCTCAGGTCCCCTGCACAAATCCTCCCCCACGCTCTCCCAGGAAAATGTCTCAGCGAGTCCCCTTTGCTGCCCCATGACACCTGCCTCTTCCACTCCCTGCCTCCTGCCGAACCTGCTGGGGCCCTCCACAGGCTGCCCGGGGAGGCGAAGCGGGCCGTGGAGCCACGTGACCGACAGGAGCACCAGTTCAGAGCCCCCCGCGCCCCCCCCCCCCCCCCCCGCCCCGCCCCGGCCCGGGGGGCCCCGTCCCCCCCCCCCCCCCCCCCGCGGCTCCCCCCCCCCCCCCCCCCCCCCCCCACCTCCTGCCCTGCACAGGCCAGGAGGCCCATGTCCCTACCACTCAGCCTCAGGGTCACCACGGCCCCGGGCCCTGCTGTGGCCTGGAGGGGAGATAAGGTCGGGCCCCTCAGCTTCTCCACCTGACTCTGGCGCTTGCTTTCCCCTCCTCTTCTCCAAGATCCTCCTCCCTTCTGACACCTTCCTCCCTTTCTCACTTCCCTCCCATTCCCCATGCTCACTCTTTGCTCCACACTCATCAAGGCCCCGTTGCCCATCCCATCTCCTTAGGGCCACAGACTTGAAGGACCAGCCCCCACCCCGAGCCCGGCCACCCGTTGGAGGCAGCACAGGTACCATGCACACAGTGGAGAAGCCGCTGGGGTAAGGATTTGGCATTTGGGGAAAGCCCTGGAGAAAGGCTCTACCCCCGCCGCCTCCCCTCTGACCCTGCCCAAGGCTCCAGTCTACCAGCGGCTCTCCCTCGGGCCGCCATCTAAAAGGTGAGCCTGTGAAGTGACTCCGTGTGACCAAGGTCTCACATACAAGGACATAGAGAACAAGGCGCCTTCTTGCAGATCCCCCCTTGGACTCCAGCTCCACCCACCCCTGCAGGAAGAAGTGAGCTGGCACTGATGAGTTCCAGCCTGGTCTGGGGCACTACGGCTGCCTTCCTCCCTCCAGACAGGCCAGGAGGACTGAGCCTTTACCCAGCCTCTACGAGGGTGGAACTGGGACAAGACCTCACACTGGCCACGCCCCAGGAGGTAACTCAGGCTGGGGGTGTGTTAGTCCAAGTGGCCTTGAAAGTACTTGAGAGATGAGGGGACAACAGCTTGGTATGAGCTTTGCACCACATTCCTCCTCCTTTCCCTTCCCCCCACCAAGGCCGTGAGGGCCCTGGGTCCCCCATCCACCCCTGACCACTTGGTGGGCCTCCCTTTGCTGCTTCTCTGCCCGTGCCCCCTTTCCATCCTGGGGGGGAATAAGGCATGTGAGGCCGGACCTTGGATCACCACTGCCACCACCTTCTTCAGCTGCTGAACTGGGGGCAAGGGGCAGCAGAGTGGCACGTGCCCTGTACTAGACATCAGACCGGCCTGAGTACAAGTCTTGGCTCTGTCACTTACTAGCTGGGCATCCCAGGGCAAGTTACTTCTCTGAGCCTTCATTTCCCTATCCATAAAATGGGGATGGCAGTAATACGTATTTTGCAGGATTATTGAGAGGGCTCAGTTTATATGTCAAAGAAATCTGTGCCCCTAAAGTGCTAGGCCAAAGATGGGGGTGATTGTGGCCTCGGGGAATGGGGAATGAGCCCTCCCAGCCTGGGCCTGGCAGGAGTAGGGGATGGGCTGGGGCTGGGGCAGCTGGGTAACCTGTTCAGGACCAAACACTTCCCTCCCTCCTGCCTGCCACCAAGTGTCAAGTTTTCCCAAGTGAGGGGGGTGGGGAACCCCAGACCCACCTTCAGAGGAGAAGGTAGATGCTTCGGTGCTAGATGGCACACCAGCCAGCCGATGTCCTCTCCCCCAGCCGGGTAACCTGTTTACGTCTGAGAGAGTACAGAGTGGCGGCCGCGGCAGCCCCCTCCCCATGCCATTCGTGCCTCAAACATTCCCTGACAAGCTCCACCCACGCCCTGGAGATGCGGGGAAATTAAAAAAAAAAAAAAAACCAACAGCCCCTGTTCTCAAGGAGAGGAGAGGGACACAGAAGACGAACAGTTCAGGGCAGCGGCACGATGCAGACACTGATGGGAAGGGAGGAGGTGGGCGGAAGGCCTGTGGGAGCAGAGAACAAGAGCAGCAGGGCTGGGGGTGGGAGGTGATGAGGAAGACTTCCTGGAAGAAGCATAAGAGGAGCGGAGTCTGGAGTAACGAATGGGAGTGAGCCAGAACCTAGGCAAGGAGGGACAGTTCCAGGAATTCCCAGGGCGTGTGGAGGCTGGTCAGACAGTGTCCCTCGGCTGGGGCCACAGCTCCATCAGCAACAAAGGCAGAATCTGCCACTTGCCTTGCTTTCCCCCAATTAGCTTTGTCCTTTGAGGCATCAGAGCTGAGTCCTGCTCCTTGAGCTGATTGCGTGGGGGACTTTAGCAGGGCCTTCGGTGGCACTTGATCATCTTTCTACAGGTCCCTGGTCAGCTCCTTCTATTTTCCACAGCTCAGTAAGTACCCAAAATGTATTTAATGAATGAATGAATGAAACTTCCAGCACCTTCCTGGAAGTTCCTGCCCTGCTGCTGTTCCCCTCAGCTCATTGCACCAGCATTACCTGAGGCTGCTCCCACCCTCATCAACTGTCCTCCAGCCTGGGGAAGTATCCCTCCACCTTCCTCCTGCCCAAAGCACCTGAATTCTAGGTCTCAGCCAGAATTTCCACCTCTTCACTGTTTTTGTTTTTTTCTTACAGGCAATGAATATCTTTAAACAAAACACTCTATAAACCCCGTTTCTCCCTCTACCACTGCATATCCCACCTCTCTTCCTTTTCAATCCAGGTTTATTCACTCCTTCATTTAACAGACATGTTAGCTTCACTAGGCACCAGTGAAGGAGGCCCAGTCCCTATCTTCAGTGAGCTCAGAGTCTCCACCTCTCTTCCATGCCAGCCACATACAACATGGCAGCTACTGGGCCCTTCCATCAAAAAAGCCCAGGCAAAGGCCACCAACGATTTCCTTTTTTTTTTCTTTTTTCTTTTTTTAATTATTTTTTTAAAGTAATCTCTATGTCCAACATGGGGCTCGAACTCACAACCCCGAGATCAAGAGTCCCATGCTCTATGGACTGAGCCAGCCAGGTGCCCTCCCCCCACCAACGATTTCCTAATAGCTAAACCCAGTGGCCTTCTTTTCGTCTCATCTCACCTGACACTGTTGACCAATCAATCTCTTTTCTCCTGCAAACTGTTCTTCTGACTCCCATGACAGGCCTCTCTCATCTCATCTGCCTTCCTTCTCTGACTAGCTGTTTAGTTCTTTCCTGACTTCTTTGTGGTTTCCTTTTCCTCTGCTGCACCCCTCAAATTGGTGGTTACCAGGGTTCTGTGTTTGACCTCCTTCTCAAAGACTCTATAGCCTTCTCTTGGATAATGTCATCCACTTACATGGTTTCAACATCCACCGAAAAAATGACAAAAATCAGGGTCTCCAATCCAGACTGCTTTCCTGAGCACCGTCTATATCCTCTTGGACTTTCCCAAAACATCTTAGACCAGCATGTCCCACACAAGCCTATCATCTTCTCCTCACCCTCCATAAACCATCTCCTCTTGTCTCTTCCATTTCAGAGAGGAACAGACACACCTCAGCTAGAAATCTAGGAATCATTCTTTCCTTCACCTCTACACCAACTTGATGACCAAGTCTTGCCATGCCTACCTGCCCCCCACACCTGCCTCTCTCCCGGTTCAGACCTCCATGATCCCTAAAACCGCTGCAGGAGCCTCCTACCTGGCCTCCCTGCCTTCTGTTTCACTACCCTCATGCAGTCTTCACAATGCAGCCAAACTGAGTTTTCTAGAATACCAAGTGGTCTACCACATTCCTTCTGTTCAACAGCCATCCACTGCCTTCAGGATGAAGTGAAACTCCTTATCATGATATAACTGACCCCCCAGGCCCCAGGCCCTGGTTCCTTCCTCAGTTATACGTTTCTCCCATGCATTCATCCTTCTTCCCACCCCTCGCTTCTCCATTCCTTCTCTCCTGCCTCTCCCTCCCCAGAAATACCTGTTCATCTTGGAAAGAACAATGTTATCTACCCAAGTAGAATTGGTCACACATGTCTTGTGCCCCTTTACCCTCCCGTGGTACTTCATGCACTTACTCTATGGCAACATGTGAACAAGGCCCATATTTTATCTGCCTTTGTATCTGCGAGTCCTGGGACATGAAAAGTGCCCAGTAAATGTTGGTTGGTTGAATGGCTACATGAGTAGAATAAAACAAACCCTCTATTGGAATCACAAAGAAGCTATAGCGTTAGAGATTCTGCCCAGGGTTCAAAGCAGGAGACTTTTCTAGAAGAAGAAAATTGACCCAGGATGAGCATCTTCCCAACATTAGGTACTGTGCTGGGCTTTTAAAATATGCCTTTGATTCGAAATCCTCACCACAATCCATTCTATCGATGGGGGCTCAGAGACTCAGGATAAAAAACCTGTCCAAAGACACAAGTTAATGGGGCACCTGGGTGGCTCAGTCGTTAAGCATCTGCCTTCGGCTCAGGTCATGATCCCAGGGTCCTGGGATCAAGCTCCGCATCGGGCTCCCCGCTCGGCGGGAAGCCTGCTCCTCCCTCTCCCACTCCCCCTGCTTGTGTTCCCTCTCTCGCTGTCTCTGTCAAATAAATAAATAAAATCTTAAAAAAAAAAAGTAAAGACACAAGTTAATAGATGGTAGAGGTGGGAGTCAAACCCAATCTTCCTGGCTCTGTATGAGCTGTTCCCGTGCTCTTTCGGCCCTATCTACTTGGGCTTCCTATCCAAAACCCAACCTGCTGTCACTTCCCTACTGCACCTGCTTTTCAGCTCCAACACAGCCAATTCTTCATCCTCTGGTTTGACTCAATCCTGACTTCACAACCTCCCAGATCCAGCCTGGACCCTGAGGGTCAGGATTCAAGCTCTACTTCATCCGACTCCATTGTTCTTGCTCTCTCCGGAGTCACCGTGAAGGCAGCTTGTAGAGAGTCAGCTGATTAACTCCTCTCAAATCCCCAAGAAGCCCTAACAATCGCAACTCTGTTTGCCAAGGGGTGGGGTTTAGTAACTCTCCTCAGATCTGAGGCAGGTAATCCGCTCTCTACTTTCACAGGCAGAAGGAGAGCTCCTACTGGAACAGCAGTGCAGCGCTCCTGCAGCCGAAGTAATTGTGGCTGGACACAGGCGGACTTGATAATGAAATGAGGAGAGTGACAGCTTGAAAGGAAGAGGGAGGCTGGTGGTCTTTTTCTTGGAGGGGCATTCAACGAGGCGCAGGGCCCTAACTCAAAACTCACAGGTGATGCTCATTTGTACAGAAAGCTCCCAGTCCTGCGGGCTGAGGAGCTCCCCCCGCCCTTGTGGCACAGGTGGCGGGCTTCCAGGTTGGGCACCAAAGCAGATGAATGGGGGAGGAAAGGAGGGGAAAGGGAGAAAGGAAGGGAAGTAGGGAGAAGGGGGGAGAAGGGGGGAGCAAGGCAGTGCAGTGTGCACGCGTCTCTTGGGAAATGCCGCTCTCGCCCCGCCCACACATGGCGGTGATTGTGATGTCACGCGTGGAACCTCCAGACTCCTTCCTCCCCTCAGAGTCGGTGGAGCCGCCCTCCCCAGCCTAGCAACTGGGTGGGTGCTGGACCAGGCGCTCCAGCCAGGCCCCGCATTTCTCAGGCGGCGGCCGGGGCTCCTGAGGCAACACGGCAACGCCTTCCAGCCCTATAAACCAGAGATTGGCAGCTCCGGCTCCAGCCGGACTGGCTCCGCCGGACCCGCAGGCACTCTCCAGGGCCTCAGGACCCCAGTCCTCAGTCATTGGTCCACGGCTCGGCGTGAGCCCGCCCCCAGGCCCTAACTCCGCCCCAGTCCAGCCCCTAGCCCCGCCTCCTTCGCCCGGCTCGTCCCAGTTCTAAACCCTCCTTGGGTGCCACGCCCCAAGATCGAAACCCACCCCCAAACTCCTGCCCCGCCCCCTCTTTACCAGTGCTGCTCTCATCCCAGATGCTGGCATTGTCCTCAGTCTTTTCCTTAGTCCACCTCTCAATCCTCAGTGTCGTCCTGACCCACATCGCTCTCAGCCCAGTTCTCGTCTCTACAAGACTCTTCCTCGCATTAGTCCAATCCTGAACCTCAGCTTGGTCGAGCCAACCGTAAACCCCAATCTCAGCTTCGCCCCAATCCAGCCTTTAACTTCGCCTCATGCTTGCCCAGTCCCTCCCTCCACCTTCCCCTGGCTCTGCGTTGTCTTAGCCCAAATCTAAGCTTCAGCCGCGCTCTTCATCCGGGGCCTCCCAGCTCCTTCCAGGCCCCTCTTTGTCCCACCTTTAACCTTAGTACCACCTCTTTATCTCAGGCCTAAACCTTAGCTCGGCCGCTCAGGCCCAGCCCTCAGTCCCATCCCTAGTTCCTCTCCAGACCTACTCCCAGCTCTTAGTCCTACCCCCAGACCTTAGCCCCCCCCCCACCCCGTTCTTAGCCCCGCCCCAGCCATTCTCTCAACCTCCAACTTCCGCCGCAATCCAGCCCCTCCCAAGCCTTCGGAACCCAGCCGCGGTGCTAGAGCCCCGCCCGCCTCCCCGCAGCCAACCCGGCTTCTCCGAGCTCCCTCTCGCTCTGGAGCGGGACCGTGTCTGGCTCGCTCGCGTTCGCGCGTGTTCTCTCTTTCTGCCCTCAGGCCCCTCCACAGGAGCCCAAGGCCCAGTTCTCAAGATGAGGACTTGGTGTCGGCTCCCAGCCCCTCGTGGTGCCCACCCCCAAGCCCCCTTCCCGCGTTCCCTCCTAGCCCCCGCAAGCACCCGGTCCCAGAGAAAATACTACCCAATAAAGATGGCAACATAGAGCCAGGGTCTCGGTTAGTGTTCCCCCAAACAGTTATTAAAATCATGAAGGTTTCTGAGCTCTTCCTATGTGTGTTAGTGCTTTATCTTATTTCATTCACGCAACCACACGTGTCTCCATAGGCTTGCCTGTGACGCGGAGCAGGGCCGCGGCATTCATAGTAAGTAACGTACTACACACACCCCTCACACCCTTAAATACAGCATATACACTGCACGCGCATCGATCACACACGTTGCATACATAAAAAATCTCCTCACACACGGACTACTGCGATATGCACACATGAACATGCCCCTTGCAGATATCACCCAGAAAACCAAACCACACCCCTGATCCCCACACCCGATGCAGCACAAACATGCCACAGCAGCTCTTTGGTGCAGGTTTCTCTCTCTCTCTCTCTCTCTCTCTCTCTCTCACACACACACACACACACACACACACACACACTTACAGGCTCTGCACAAGAAGAGGGGTGAGGAGCACAGTCCTGTGAGGGAAGAGACATGGAAAAAACAACCCCAGGGAGTGTGAAAAAGTGTTAGAGCCGTACCACCCACACTCCACACATCACTCCCCTCAAATCCTCTTGTCACTAGGCCCCTAAGCCAGGATATGCTTCAACAGATGGAAAAAAGAGGAAAGGATGATGTTTAAACTGTTTTCTCCAGTCATCCAGGGCCTCTCCTGCAGCTGCTGCTGTCTGTGCAGTCCCAGCCTTTACCTTCCTCCAGGCCCAGTAGACTGAGCAGATAGGGCCACTACCCAGGCGTCCCTTCTCACCTTAGCTCCAGACAGCTCTAAGAACAGCAGGAAAGTTGAAGCCAGGAGAGGAGTAGGCAGAAAAGCCAGCCCTTCCAGGACAGTGGTTTGGTGAGAATGGTACCAGGCATGTGGACAGAGCACTTGCGGACTGGGAGCCTGGGTCTGTGTTCTAATCTTGACCCTCCATGGCCTCTCAGGATGACACCTGAGGCCACAGGTGTCCCACCATTGTTGGTCCAGATGTCTGAGATACTTCCAGCCAATCTCACTCTGGGTCAGATGTCGAAAGGGAGCCAGGTTCTTCGCCACTCTTCCCTCCAATCAGTTTTAATAGTTTAGGGTTTTGTTTGTTTTTTTTTTAATATTTTATTTATTTATTTATTTGAGAGAGAATGAGAGATAGAGAGCATGAGAGGGGGGAGGGTCAGAGGGAGAAGCAGACTCCCCGCCCAGCAGGGAGCCCGATGCGGGACTCGATCCCGGGACTCCAGGACCATGACCCTGAGCTGAAGGCAGTCGCCCAACCAACTGAGCCACCCAGGCGCCCAATAGTTAAGGTTTTGGAGCTCTTCCAGTGTGTGTTAGTGTTTTACCTTATTTCATCCATGAAACCTCATCAGTATTATCAGCCTGATTTTACAGATGAGGAAACTGAGACACAGAGGATAAGTGATTTGCCCGGGAGTCTGAGAGCTCTTTCCTTTAGTTCCTTATCCCCAACTGTGTCCCACTTGGTGCTTATTCCCAAATTTTTACCACTGGATAATTTTCTTTTTTTTCACTCCCTTCCTGCCTTCGCTTTAAAAAATACTTCTCTTTGGGGCGCCTGGGTGGCTCATTTGGTTGAGCGTCTGACCCTTGATTTCAGCTCAGGTCATGATCTCAGGGTCCTGCAATGGAGCCCCAGCTGGGCTCCCTGCTCAGTGGGGAGTCTGCTTCTCCCTCTCCCTCTGCCCCTCTAACTGCCTGTGCATGTGTACTCACTCTCTCTAAAATAAATGGATAAATTTTGAAAATAAATAAATAAAACTTCTCTGAGGAGAACACAGTGAGAAGTGATTGAAGAGGAACAGTGAGGACTCAAATGGGGGACCTCCTGACTCAGAGCATGTCTTTTTCTTTTTGAAGAGGGAAAAAGGTATGCTGGTTTTTTTCTCTTCTTTTTCTTTTTTTCTTTTTTAAAGTAAGCTCTAGGCCTACCTAACATGGGGTTTGAACTCACGATCGTGAGATCAAGAGTCACATGCTCTACCTAGTGAGCCAGCCAGGTGCCCCTATGCTGTTTGTTTGTTTTATTTAGTTAATCAGGTTTTAAAATGTAAAAAGACACTACTCATAAATTTATGCTTATATCACTAATAATGTTAAATAGATATTAGATAGCACACTTTTTTTTTAAGACTTTATTTATTTGTCAGAGAGAGAGAGAGCAAGCAAGCAAGCACAAGCAGGGGGAGCGGCAGGCAGAGGGAGAAGCAGGCTCTCCACCAAGCAAGGAGCCCGATTCAGGACTCGATCCCAGGACCCTGGGATCATGACCTGAACCGAAGGCAGATGCTTAACCAACTGAGCCACCCAGGCGTCCCTAGGTAACATATCTTCTGAGTAAGAGCCAAACCCCTACCCGCCCTGGGCCTTCTGGTCAACCCAAAGAGCATCCAAAACTCAATCACTTCTTACTGTGTTCTCCTCGGAGAAGTATTTTTTTAAAGGGAAAGCAGGAAGGGGGTGAAAAAAAGAAAACAATTATCCAGTGGTAGAAATTTGGGAATAAGCACCAAGTAGGGGGGACACAGTTGGGGATGAGGAACCAAAGGAAAGAGCTCTGAAAGCCAACCACTTAGAGTCCAGTACAGCCCTCCAAAATGTGGTTCCTCAGCTCCTAGCCTGTCTAGAT